ATCAATTGGCTGCTGCCACGGTTGATACTAAAGTTATCGCAGATTTTATTATAGGCGATTTATTTTCCTGAAGGTAGTCGGAGATGATCAATAAAAGAAAAAAAATGTCTGTCGTGTAGGTAATAAAAAAGTTTTTACGTTAAACTTCTTGTTGCTATTTTCAGGTAGGGCTGCATACAATGGGACGAGTGACATAACTGGCAAGAATTGGGAGACTTCTTTGAACCACCCCTATCGAAAAAATGGCAGTATATGGTAAGCAAGTACCGTTACTTCAGCAAGTTATAAAATTATCTTATCGCTATATTTACTTTTTTTAATACGTAAATGTTTGCCATAGCCTTATCAATATTTACTTAACATATCCTATAAAAACATCGGAAATTAATCGTTAAATAATATTGACAGACTTTAAAAAGTCTTCGCAAAACTACATTCTCGTTGCCTCAGCCAAATTCTGATGACACAGCCGGTTTGTTGGAGTCAGCTAATATTGTAGTATAGTGTTACGTTGACGCACATTGAGCTGAGCTTGTGTGACGAAATTCATTATATACGCTTTAATAACTTACGTTTAAATTGCGTTCGTTGTTAATATTAATAAGCAATAACCATGATAATATTATTTATTGGAATGTCTCTTCGGTCTCGTTCATGCATGCATGACTGTGATACACGCGGTCTCGTGTTCAGTTGCAGTCCTGGAGAGAGTCCTAAGATTTTTGATAATAAAATTGTCAGTCATGTATGATTTTCATTATTTTAGGAGGTAGATCCGTCGATTAAAAGTGGGTAATAATAATTTATCTATGTGGGTAGGCCAACACTTATAATAGATAGCATTTAGTTAAAAAGTTGTAGGTACTTTACTTTTCAATGACTATTAAAACCACTGATATGATTTAAAACGGATCTAAGTCGTTTAGTTAGGTATTTATTGTAGAAATAATTATCTAGGTAGATGTATCAATTACGTAGCTACAATCTAAAAATCTATGGAGGTAGGAGACCGGTTGGTCTCCAAGGACGTTGCAATTTCAACGCCCTTGTTGGTCTCATAATTTAGTAAGGTATCTTTGGCTACTGTAACCTCTTTGCACTGACATTAATTACTTTTTATTATTTCTAATGATTCATCTTCTGTCACTATTTATAAACGTAACTTAGACGTATCAAATTCACACTTTTGTAGTTTTTTTACGAATAAATTTTATCGATTGGCTTCGTTTGCCTCAAATAAAAATAGAATACCTAGTTAAACATTTTGAGTAGCAAAAAATTATTTCAGCTGTAATTTCCTGATTTGTATGTTTTATTGATTTTGATAGCTATTTTGTTAACAAAATGATGTTTGGAACGTCGAAAATAATGAGGCAAGTGTTTTATTACTTTGTTTTGAATTAAGTTGGTTATATGTATTAAGTTATCTATAACATAGATATTAAGGATATAAAAGACCTACATGGTTCAAGAATTCCGGTAAATATGTCTCTATAGTCCATCTGTTTAGGTAATTAACTAAAGGTAAACAAAGAAAACCACGTGACACAGAGATACTTAACCTATTGTTACTTCAAATATTTCTTGTGTATTAATTTAAACGAAATTGACTTTAAAATCTTTCATTTCTCACACACACATACTAGCACAAATGCCTAAATCGTACAAGAGCCTAGCCTATGGGTCTATTTCATTATCATGTTTAAACTATTCTGAATCTGATGTACGGATTTCTTTCTTGTACGGATATGTGTCTTTGGGCCAAGTTTCTTCAATATATTTGAACACATTAATTACAAACGACGAATAACCTAAACTTAAATAACTTAATAACAAAAACAAAACAAAGAAACAAGATAAATTCAACAAAATAGGAACGCGAGCGCAAACGACGAGAGAGCTGTCAATGGCGCCTGATTAACCGACTAAACGTAATACACGCTACTTTCATTGTCGCGCTACATCTTAGTTGTACTCTTTAATTTGACAACATTATCTAATGCTTCGTTCTTATAGAAGGGTTTTGGATACCTGGGATTTTAGGCTCTTTATGGTGTCTATTGTAATGAAATATTATATTATTTAATAAATGTTATTAAATTATTATGCTCAAGCAGATATATATAATATTTACTAAGAAATAAGTGAAAAGGAACAGAAACACAACATTTCATAGAGAAAACTGTCGTAAAAATGGAAACAATTTTATTTTCTTATAAAGTATTTTGAATCATGGAAATGTCAACTATAAAGAACTCTTTTTATGGTTTGTTTACAAATAGTTAACTACCTAAACAGACGGAGTATAGTCATGTTCTGAAGGTAAAAAGTACGTGTGTAATACCTGCAAAAACTCAAATAAGTTTAGTAATGTACACCTACCTTCATTTAGGACTTTCCTGATTCCTTAAATAATTACTTTTCCGGTTTAACCGGAGTGATACCACGGCCTCACAGATAACCCACGTGAAGCAACGATTGCGTTGTTTCGTCGTGTAAGTGAGGTTACCGGAGGCCTAATTAACCCCCTCTTCTTCCCCAATCCCTGAATCCCCAACGATTACGACGAATTATTCATAAGTTAAATTGTTACATAATTCATGAAGTGACTGCCTCGTTGGCCGAGTGGTCGCAATTGCGACTGCCGAGCAAGGGGTCTAGGGTTCGAGTCCCAGGTCGGGCAAAGTATTACTGGGTTTTTAATTCTTAGTAGTAGCACGGAGTCTGGAATTGTGCCTGGTATATGGTAATAGACTCACCCCCTATTACATGGGACTCATAACATAAATGGTGAAAAGTGGGTGTTACATAGTACAGTGGCATAATGTACACCTCTGCCTGCCCCTCGGGGATAAAAGGCGTGATGTTATGTTATATTATATTTATGAAGTGACAAAAATATCGTTACATTAAAAAAAGTTAGTAGGTACACCACTTAGGAACGTTAAAATTAATTTTATTACCTAGTTATAAAATTATTCTATAACATGCACTGATGTTTTAGGTTTTATGTTTGTAAAGTAATATTAGTTTAACTTGAATTGAAGCTGGATGGATGTTTTATTAAGTTTTTATTTGAAATATTCGTTTTATACGCCGAAGACTTTTAGATAAAAATAAACGTTTTCTAAAGTTTTAAATATTTTTATTACACTCGTTGGTAGTTTTGTTAAAAATCTCCCATGATATACAGAAATTTATAATTGGCAACATTGAAACCTTATGTCATTGTTTCTGACTGACGTTTTTCAATCTTGTCTTGATTCTATTTACCTACGCATTTTCGTGATATTTGTGAAAAATAAACGTTGATTTGTTACGAAACAACATAATAGCGAACATTAAAAGATTTCCTAGTGTCTGAAATAGCTGTGAGTGCATTTATTTGTATGTTTTGTTTAATACGTGAAGAATAACAGCGCAGTAATGTAAGAGCTTTATCTTATCATTTTTTGTTGTTTTAAATTTGATAATTACAGTTTATTTTGTACTAAGTGAGAGATAAATGTATTGTACAAACAGCCACTGTATTTATTGGGTGCAGTATTGTTGTAGTGTTATTGAGAAAAGATCTCTTTGGGAGGTGATTTTAAGTAAAATAGTAAATGACATCAGTCGTTAGTCATATCTGGAGATTTTGTTGATACTGGTGGTTCGAAACTGTAAGTTTACGATTTCCGATGTTCCTAAAACGATTTACGATGCTCTCCTGTGTTTCATGAATCATAATTTATTTTCATAACATTGTTATCTTTGGGATCTAACAGTTACTATGGAGGTGTAAACTGATTGTTCTTTAAAATATTTTAATGCATTCATCTTTTATAAAGTAATACTTACTATGCATTAGTATAATTCATACTATTTTTAATAATTAATCACAAATACAAAAGTGTGTTTGTGTGTCTATATGTCATTTTGTACAAAGAGATTTAGTGGTATTTTTTTTATATCTGGATATAGTTAAGAGGTTGGAGCATGTTATAGGCTACTTTTTTTTAAAACCAGGTGGTTGTAAGTTATGGGTAACAGCTCAAGTGTTAAGTTCAATTTTAAACATAACACACATTTGGTCATGGTCTTAGATACAAAGATGATAAAGTTGTGAGATAGTGTGTGGCCTACATTTTGCAATCTATAATAATTCATACTACCTATCAGTTATTGTCTATTGTTTTCTAATGTAGCAAATATTAATAAAAACCTAGTTTTAATTTAATCACAATTTTAAACTAACTATTTACTCCTAATCTGTAGGTACCTATATTTAAAATAGGTTAATTAATAAATGAATGTTGCTCAATAGTTGAGGTGATTAACAATGATTGGTTCTAGCTGACTACCATTTGTGAGTTAGAAATCTGTTAAGTTTGGTAGTTTGATTGATTATCATCAACATCAACAGCCGGAAGACGTACATTCCTGGACAAAGGCCTCCCCCGGAGGACTAACCTCCATGTCGAACGACGACTCTATTGACTATAACTTAAAAAAAGTGTTTTTTACCATTATGGATTTATTCATTGAGTCAGGTGTTGAGTTTTAGATTTGTTACTTTTTAATTATCCTGTCGTAATGCAGATTCCAAATTGTGTCCAGTTTTGCCAAATAAGTTGGCACCCATAAGAAGTATGTTAATAACATAACTAAAAAGTGTATATAGGTTATACACAGCTTTGCATGAAGCTGTAAACTAATGGAGGCCATACATGCTAGCCGCACATGCATAATCGACAGGCCCTAGTGTGTATGTGATTAAACTGTACAGTTATCGGTGCATCGGTGCTCGGTTATGCTTGTCGGTTTTGCATGCACAGTTATAACCATCATGCATAACCTAGCATGTATGGCCTTCTTTAAAGAACTCCAGCTTTTATAAAGCTAGTTCAGCAACTGATGCCATAATAAAGACAAAAAATAACTGTCACTATTTCCTTGTAATTCAATAATGGGTACAGGGTAATGTTAATAATCAATAATTAATATTTTTTTGTAGAGTAATGGGTCAAACCCTTTCCGAGCCGGTGACGGAGAAGCAATCTTCAACATGTCAGGACAGCCGCTACCTAGTGGGCTCGTCCTGCATGCAGGGCTGGAGAGTATCCATGGATGACTCACATACACACATACTCTCGCTACCAGAGGATCCCGGGACTGCATATTTTGCAGTGTATGATGGACATGGCGGTAAGTCTAGTATTAATAGAAACATAACATAACATAACATCACGCCTTTTATCCCCGAAGGGGTAGGCAGAGGTATACATTACGCCACAGTACAATGTAACACCCACTTTTCACTATTTATGTTATGAGTCCCATGTAATAGGGGGTGAGCCTATTGCCATATACCGGGTACAATTCCAGACTCCGTGCTACTACTGAGAATTTTTAAAAAACCCAGTAATACTTTGCCCGACCCGGGAATCGAACCCGAGACCCCTGGCAGTCGCACTTTCGACCACTCGGCCAACGAGGCAGTATAGAAACTAGAATATGATTCCTGTTTTTTCCCATGGCAAAATCTAATCCGGATCAAAAATACCCTATCACTTAACCGCTTGAATGCCTGTATATAAGACACAATAGAAAGTACATTGTGGCTCGTATGTATCCACGTTTAAACACACAATGGGTTAAGTCAGCCTATACCCTGCCTGTATACAAAATTTCATCACAATCCGTTCTGTAGTCTCAGCGTGATTGACGAACAAACATCAAAACAAAGAAACTTTCCCATTTACAATATTAGTGTGATTAAAGCTTCTAATTCCTTGTGGATTCTTGTTTTAATCGTTTTATCAGGCTGAGTTTACTGCTATGACATTTGTATTGATCATGTAGCTTTAAACTAAAGTGTTCTGTACTTAGTTAGGTATGAACATCTCGTCTTATTCTCATCCATATATTCTTAATGCAAGGCCTAGATGATTTTAGTAAAAACTTTTATGTTTACTATTTTTAATGTAATTCAATTACTCTATTCATGTGTTTGTTTATATTTCAATTTGTTTCCAGGATCCAACATAGCAGAGTATGCTGGCAAGCATCTTCACAAGTTTGTGACAGCCAGACCGGAGTACCACCTCGGGAACATTGAAGAGGCTTTAAAACAGGTAACAGAACACATTTTAAATTCAAAAATCGAATACGAACGAATAAATAGATAGTAAGAATTTGTACTACTTTTTAACTGCAAACTCGACTTCATCACTACATAGTATAAAACAAAGTCGCTATCCGCCGTTTGTCTGTCCCTATGTATGCTTAGATCTTAAAAACTACGCAACGGATTTTGATGCAATTTTTTTAATAGACAAACTGATTCTTAAGGAGGGTTTATATGTATAATACATGCATATTTCACCCGTGCGAAGCCGGGGCGGGTCGCTAGTAACTTTATAAGGCTGCTTTTGGTGGTCATTCCACCCAAAGCATATTTTTAATTTTTTTAAAGAAACGTTGCCTCACACTAGGATTTTCTCCTGTGTCGTGGGTGCGTTTACAAACATACAAGTTCACATACACAATGACACCCAGACCCGAAACAACAATTTGTGGATCACACAAATTGTTGTTCCGTGCGGGAATCGAACCCGCGACACGTTGCACGGCAGCCGGTTGCCCAACCACCGCACCAACCGTGCAGTCAATAAGTAATAATTTGTCAGTTCAGCGTTTAACCATTATTTAAGAGGATCTTATCCGTTTTACCTACTTAATCTTAGTGGAGCTTGGTATGGATGATGACTAACAATTTACCAATTTATATACAGACACCTAAAAATGTGTGTCATCCCTTTCCCGGAATAACGCGCGAATTTAGGTCTACATTTGGTTAGAATCACCCTAATTACTATACCTACCTTTTATACGTCATCTGTCCGTCTGTGGCGTGACCAAATAATTAGCATAAACGCATCATAGTTCTATTATTACCGTTTTAAGTCTGACCATAGTCAATAATTTCAGTATTAACTCCTGAATGTGACCTCAGTGTGCATATTCATAGCATGTTTGTATGTGATTCATTTTATTTAAAAACCTCATTACACGAAACTTTACACGTGCTGGCTTAGGGTTGCCACGTTGGTAGTTAATGAGACATTAACATTATATTTTTTGTATAAAATTAATTATTTTCTATTTCTAGAAGGTTTTGAATTTTAACGTTATCTTTTTATTTTCTCTATAAGTAATTGAGTCCTGTGTATGGCAATAGATCTACCGATCACACACACACACGCACTTATAATTGACGAACAGATAATGTTATATAACATAACATCACGCCTTTTATCCCCGAAGGGGTAGGCAGAGGTGCACATTATACCACTGTACAATGTAACACCCACCCGACCCGGGAATCGAACCCGAGACCCCCTGCCCGGCAGTCACACTTGCGACCACTCGGCCAACGAGGCAGAGAGCATAATGTTATGTTATGTTTATTTTTACAATTAATAGATTTAAAAAAATGTTTTTATGGATTAATTGTACTGTTTACTTTATGTCTCAAGTCTGTACCTATATTTTCTTAAGTGCAATATGCATAAATGTTACTAATGATAATAGTACTATAGTACTATAGACAAAATTGTTTCACACACAATCTGTAAACGCACCCCTTACCTACTACCCTAACAAAAACCCCCTAAAGTAATGTCATGAAAATAAAATTGGTCATTAATTTCCCCTACGCAACAACCCTAGCTAATGACGTGTATAAAATTAGCTTCATAAACTTGACCAAGTAAAGTCCAAGCGTTCCTTTCTAGCCCTTGGCGTTCGTTTCATGGTGTTTTATAACAAAATATTTAATTATACACACACTAACTTTCCTCCTGCGGTTTCGCCCGCTTAGAATAGGATTGATGACGGGATATGAAAATTAACAATCTATTTAGACCATAAGTTAGGTAATTACAAAATATTAGACACGTATTTTTTATTTTGTCGTTCATGCAATACTAAAATAAAACGAATCAATGTTTAGAAGTGGGGGCTAAAACGTCATTTCTACGTATAAAATGTACATAGAAATGACGTCACGCGACATTTCAAATCAATATATCGTCGAAGGTATTCGTTTTTGTAAGAATATTAAACATACACGTCTCATGTTTTAAAATAACCTACGAGACTGACATTAAAGTAAAAGTTTGGCATCTACACTATTTAACTCGTCGAGTACCGGTTTTATAGACACAATTAAAGAACAATAGGTCGCGGTTACCGGTGACCGCTTGGTGTTTGACAGTTTAAAACATTTTTCTCATCTATTATGAGAATCTATGTAAATAAAAATGAATCTCCGATATGATTTTATGTTCGCGCATAACTCCTGAACTGCTTGAACAAATTAGATATTTGTCTTGTTAATGTAAATCTGACACATTGACGGTGAACATTGGCAAATAGCACACAAGCGAAGCTAGGCCACGCCCCCAGCATTGCAATAAAAATATAGTCCATCGATATTTTTCCTTTAAAAGTAAACTTTCCAATGGTGTAAAAACGACTCAAATCTGTCCAGTAGCTTCAAAGCTTATTTATTGAACACAAACAAACAAACAAACTATCAAATATTTGCTCTTTGTAATATTATTCGTTTATGATAATTAAGGGTGCGGGTTTTATTCCAAGCCGTTGTTTTTAATTAGGCTAGTATTGTGCCAAGTATGTAGTATTGGCGTTGTAATTATTCCTTTATGTATTTTTATTTTAGACGTACTTTCGAAGCGATCCTTGTAATTATAATAATATAATTGGATTGTTAGATTTTTTAACGAGTTAAGTTTGTAGGCGTTTTTTTACTCAGCCTCGTGTAATTGCCCAGGTCTTGAATTCGTGCATTAGAAAGAAAGAAAGAAGAAGAAAGAAAAAGCATTTATATGGCAAATGGCACACAAACAAAGATTATGTAAAATAAAAAATACAGATACTTACATAAATACATAATAATATTAATAGCAAACATAAATGCGATTCTCAGATCGGGCAAAGAACTTTCGTGAGACATACAAAATTAATGATTATGTTTTCGATTTACTCACGTAACAAGGAACTCGACTATACTCGGAATTTTAATTCGATTCCAAATTTGACAATTTCAGTGTTGCAACGTTATGACAAGTACTAAATAGTGACGTTGCGAAATTATTCGATATGGAAATGCAATATTTCTGGATCGATTCTTCTCGTTTATAATTTTACTCTCGTAAACTAAGTATATCAGGAAATTAAATATTTCTAAACCGATAATTTAGTTTTGACGATTAATTAACGATCTGAGACTTTTCTTTTATAATTATGTGTGAAATAAATAAAAAAATGTAATCATGAAGGAACATGACAAATAAAACCGATAGATGTATAATAGTAATAAGTTATTTTATAAATTGTCGCCGTCATCACTATCGCTATCCTGTCACTTTCTGTAACATTTATTATAAAACACACACACTGATTGTTTATCGATTTTTGTGTGCATCACTACACTATTATATGTGGTATCATTATTTCGCAAAATGACAGTAGCTATTGTCAAATCTGGAATCTAATTAAAATTCTGACTATAGTTTCAAGCTAGTTTTCCATTCCTCGTCACAGTTACGTGTGTAAGCCGAAAACATAGTTAAAGCGTCATTGGTTTTTTTTTTATATTTTGTAACAATCTTGTGAATTGCACTTTGTTGCGTCCACTGTACAGTAATAAACTTCTTCCTGAAAAAATAGTGGAATACATTTGTCCTTGTCCTTCAATGTCCCTTTCGCTTACCCCATCATAGATTAAAATGTATTTTTTTATGGAATAAACCGGTTAATGATCAGACGGATCACCTAATGCCCATGGACACTCGAAACACCATAGGTATTACAAATGCGTTACCGGCCTTTTGGGAGGTATTGGGAAGATGGGGAGGGGGAGTGATTGGGCCTCCGGTAACCTCATTCACACAACGAAACACAACGCAAACTTTGTATCACGTCGGTTTTCTGTGAGACCGTGGTATCATTCCGGTTGAGCCGGCCCGTGCTGAAGCATGGGTCTCCCACACTTAAATTCTGAGAAAATCCGAGTGTGACGTTCAGTTACTTTTTTAATTATTATGTTGAACATGCGATTATATCGTTTAACATGAGATTATATCGTTTAACATGAGATGTTCATCTTTCCCAGGGTTTCCTAGACCTAGACCAGGCGATGTTGGAAGAAGACATGCTGCAGACGAAGGTGGCAGGCAGCACGGCGGTGGTGGTGCTCGTGAAGGACAACACCCTGTACTGCGCCAACGTTGGGGATTCCAGAGCTATTGCCAGCGTTAGGGGCACGGTGAGTAACTTCTGGAGATTAGATTTGATGAAGATCTATTGTGTTGTTAGTTTTAAACTCAAAGAGATAATGATATTACCTATCTTACCTGCAGCTGTAGCCAAATGCCATTTAGCGCTTGTCTACTTGTAGAATAGAAAACCAAATTATATGGAATTGACGTAAATTTTGACACTTGTCAGTGTGATCCCATACATTTTGATTACTACTCTCTCTGTAGACAAGCGCTAAAGTGGCGTTTAGCTAAAGGCACTGTACATGACTGCCTCGCTGGTCGAGTGGCCACAAATGCGACTTTAGATCAAGAAGTGGTTCGATTTTTGACTGTAGACAGACACAATAGAGTATATTGTGTCTCGCTTATATACAAGTTCAGCATACCAGGAGTAAAAGTATAATATTTTTATTATTCTAAATATTTGTCGAATCTTCTGAAACCTATCTAAAATAGGTTATGACTCTTTACTCATCTAATGACCTTTCTATCCAGGTGGAAGTATTATCATATGACCACAAACCGAACAACGAGGAGGAGCTCCGTCGTATCACGGCTGGTGGAGGCTGGGTGCAGCTCAACAGGGTCAACGGGAACCTCGCGCTGTCCAGGGCACTCGGGGACTATGTCTTCAAGAGGAACTACAGACTGTCGCCGCAGGAACAGATAGTAACAGGTTTGTTGGAATTTATTTATATTCATACATAAACAGCCTATAAGGGCTCATTGCTGACCAAAGCCTTCTCACACGGAGAAGGTTTGAGTATTGATCACCACGCTTGCTCAATGTGGGTTGGCGATTTCAAACTTATAATTAGAAAGTATAAGTCACCGTTTGTCAGTGGTGTCTAAATAAAATAATCTTAGAAAATACATATAACTCGGAAAAATCGCGTTGGTATTTGCCGTTGGCAGGTTTCGAAACCGCACCCCTGCATGATAAGCGTGGTGCATTATGTATGTTATAATTGGTTAGTATTAGTCTACTGTTGCATTATGAGCCTTTTGTACATAATAGGTGTTAAGTTAAGCTTAGTTCATTATAATCATCAACCACAACGGCCAATGACAGTCTGTTGAAAATCTATGGGCATCTCTCTACATGTGAGGATTAGCCGATCGAATGGAGTTGCTTAGTCGTTCTATTTTGGAATGAGATGGACTGACTGACAGACTATTATTTATTTTGTATTTGTTGACGTTTCAAAAGTACCAAATTATGGTTTAATTAAAATAAATGTTTTGACTGAGCCATTATCTCCACCCTTGATATGTTGAGATCACATTGCAATTTAAAAAGTTCAGCTTAATCAAATATCACTATCCCCAGTCTCTTTTTTCCAGTATTTACGACGCCTGCGTCACCATTGCGTGTGGTTGATGGAATATTTCATTATTATTATTATTTGTTTCTTCAGCGTTCCCAGATGTACAAGTGAGGCAGTTGAACGACGACTGGGAGTTCATAGTGATAGCCTGCGACGGTATCTGGGAGGTCTTGTCCAATGAGGTAAGATAGCTTTAATTAACTTGTTAATAATTCTTTATAAAAGAATTATTATAAAAGTCCTTGGTAAAACCAAACAGATGAACTGATTAAAAAAAACAGTTTATCAATATCATAGATAATTTCAGAAATATGCAGACAAATGCAACTTGTAAGAATAATAATTTACGTCTCTGTATGTCACTTAAAACTTGTATTGTTCAGGCTTTGGTCTACTTACTTAAAAAAAATTCAATAATTACAGGAGGTGATATCATTCTGTCGTGTACGCCTACTAAGCGGTTGGGAGCCGGCAGCAGTTTGTGAAGCATTAATGCAGCGCTGCCTCGCACCAAACTGCGCCACCGGCGGACTCGGCTGTGATAACATGACCGTCCTACTTATCTGCTTAGCCCCCTTCCCACGCATCGACCCAGCCGTGAGTATATTCACACTTGTTAATTAGAATTTCAACTTTAATGTTTTGTTGGTTAGGTTCGTTTTCGTTTGGTTAAAAGTGTAGGTAGGTATTGTATAGTTAGATATTCGTCAAAGGAGTTTCAACTTTATTTGTTTGTAGTATGCATTACTTTTATAAAATTATAGCTAGTTATTTACCATTAAATAGTCAATTTTGTAGCTTAAAAATTAGGATCAGAATACTTAACGCAATTGGGTACTTTCCTTAATCAAAAATAAATTATTTCGACTGTTCAATACAATAAAATATTAAAAAATAATCACACTATCATTAATTGATTTTATGACCAACTTAAGTTGTAGTATTTTTCTAGCAAATTTTTAAGAAATAACTGTATAATGTTTGACGCTAAAAAAATGTGACGTCACTATACACAATCGCGTACAAATGTCATAGAAAACTGTCATTTTTGACAGTTCGAAAAAAGTATTGAATTCGACTAGTTGGCAAGTACCCAATTGATTGAGTTCATGGTATAGAATAGTTTTTGGGGACGATATAGGATTATTTGTTCTTCATATGTGTAGTTTTACATTACATAAGTATGGCCTGCATGCTTGCATGTTTATTTAATTGCATGTTATTTATTAACATTTTAAAGTTTTATTCCACAATTGTTACTTAATTTTTGCTTATACTGAATTACATACTCAATGTCGATACTTCGATAGCAACGTATAATAGATTTTTATAACTTTGCCGCCGTCCTAAAAACTCTTTGATTAATACCATAGTAACGACTGAAGAGTGGGTTTCGGGTTCGATTCCTGGCCTGCAGCTGTAGCCAAATGCCATTTAGCGCTTGTCTACATGTAGAATAGAAAACCAAATTATATGAAATTGACGTAAATTTTGACACTTGTCAGTGTCATCCCCATACATTTAGTTTTCTACTCTCTCGGTAGACAAGCGCTAAAGTGGCATTTGGCGAAAGGTACTGGGTAGAGTATTATCGAAGCTTTTAATATTAGAAAATAGTCATTTATAACATTTAGCATCGATTTTTTTATTACATAGAACTTGCAACATTGGTCTAACATTTAATACAATGTACTACATAATGGGGTAGACGACTAATTTTTATTTTAATGTCCGTCTGATAGATTATTTAAAAACATTAGACACGTATTTTTTATTTTCTCACAGAAACGAATAGTTTCGAAGATATATTGATTTGAAATGTCGCGTGACGTCACTCCTCAGTACATTTTATACTAAGGAATGACGTTTTAGCCCCCACTCCTAAACTTTGATTCGTTTTATCTAAGTATTGTTTTATTATACGACAAAATAAAAAAATACGTGTCTAATATTTTTTCATTACCTAACTTACGGACTAATTATATTTTTAATTTTCATACCCTGTCATCATCCCCATTACCATAGAATATAAAGCGACAGTATTATAAGTATTATAAACAATATAATTTATTTCAGTCTGCATTCAAGTGCCTAGATCCGACACGTCCAAACAAGTATTGGACTATGACACCGTCGCGGCGGTTCTCTTAACTTAAAACTCTGCCCACCCTACTTTGCACAAGCTTTAATACTTCTAGCGTGTCTCTATTACTGTGATCTTTAGCCCCTTTTTGTTACTTGGTTGATTTTTATAAAAAAACTGGTATTTGGTCTTATTTCCTATATTTAACCCTTTGAGTACCGTCATTATGGACACAATTAAAGAACAATAGGTTGCGGTCACCGGTGTCCTCGCGGTGTTTGACAGTTTGATAATTGGTAAGGTTGTGATTTCTCTAAGGCTTTAGTACGTTATTATTTTACGTTTGCAGTTATCGAAACATTACCGCTTTTAGCCCTCTGATTAATAAAATTTACATAAACAATAATACCTAATCAGGTTCTTGGGTTCTTAGATACGAGTATTAGTAGATTTTTGGAATATTCTTAATAAGAACAAAGAGTTTCGCTAAAGTCAAAGTCAAAAGTCAAAGCATTTATTTCAATTAACCCTTTGAGTACCGTCATTATGGACACAATTAAAGAACAATAGGTTGCGGTCACCGGTGTCCTCGTGGTGTTTAACAGTTTGAACCATATTTTGGTACTTTTGAAACGTCAACTAAGTCGTACTTATATATTTATATTGGTTCATTGGTGCAAGCCATTAGGGCCTACCGTATTTTACTAATCAGATGACGCTAGTGCGCCCATGTCGTTCTTCTTCCAATAGGGTATTAGAGCTAGTGCCACACTAATAGACGTTCAATATTTGGCAGCTACTGTGATTGGACAAAAATGCCCCTTACTTACATATATGCGACATCTAGTGGACATAGAAACGTTAGCCCCCATTGATTAGTCTGATGAATCAGCCAATCAGAGCTCTGAGCGAGTTTCCATCTCGCTAAACGTAAAACAAACTGACTGCCAAGCACAGCGCTCTGAGGCCTTAATACGAGTTTATTTGATTGCCTCGTTGGCCGAGTGGTCGCAAGTGCGAATGCCGGGCAAGGGGTCTCTTAAAAATTAAAAAAAATCTCAGTAGTAGCACGGAGTCTGGAATTGTGCCCGGTATATGGCAATAGGCTCACCCTCTATTACATGGGAACCTCTATTAAATAGTGAAAAGTGGGTGTTACATTGTACAGTGGCATAATGTGCGCCTCTGCCTACCCCTTCGGGGATAAAAGGCGTTATGTTATGTATTTTACGTTTAAAGTATTCGTAACGAGAACGCGTTCGGCGCTCTGATTGGTTGCTTCATTGGCGTCGGCCAATCAGAGGGCCAAGCACGAATAACTATCGCATTCGTATCGTAACAGTATCGAGCGAGTTAAGCGTTCTGATTGGTTGGTTCACTTGAGCCGGCCAATCAGAGCGCCGAACGCGGTCGATACTATTACGTTACGAAGGCGATAGTTATTCGTGCTTGGCACTCTGAGTGCTGAACACGTCCTCGTACCAAGGCCTTTGATTAATTGGTTCGCCGGAGCCGGCCAATTAGAGCGCCGAATGCACTCAATACTTTTACGTTACGAAGTGATAGTTATTCGTGCTTGGCACTCTGTTATTTAATCCCCAAGTATTGCGACGATCTATGATCACTTACCATTCGGTAATCCGTCTGCTCATTTGCCCCCTATTCTATAAAAACACATTTGGTGATTTCTTATTTCAAAACTTTTCTGTTTTATACAACTTTTTCTGGTTCATACTAATTAATATAGCGAAACAATTTCTGATTCAGACTAATGATAATTCTATAAAAAATGGTACATCAGATTCAATGCAATTATTCTGTAGATTATTAGAGAAAGAGAAAGAACAAGATTCCTTTTTAAAAGGCCGGCAACGCACATGTGACTCCTCTGGCGTTGCGGGTGTCCATGGGCGGCGCTGATCGCTTACCATCAGGTGATCCGTCTGCTCGTTTGCCTCCTATTCCATAAAAAAAGAAACCTCTCCTCTTCCATATAAGTTAGTATAAAAAATATTAACATAAATATCTTTATTCTCTTTCATTAGCGTGTGAAGCCCCACTACTGGGACTGCGCAAGGGCCTCTCCCGCTACATTCCACATCAACTTGAATTAATAATAAATATATTTTTAATAATCCAAGTAAATACTTCTTATATCCATGGTAATATAGAGAAGGGAATCGATATCTAACAAAGTGCATAAACATAAAATAGTAAATAACAATAAGGTCCTAAATTAATGATCTTTGATTGATAAAATATACAGTCTACTAACGTGAACTATTCGAGAATAAAACTACTAATTTCGAGTCACAACGGGATTCATAAACATGATCCGTATACGCAATGAAAGACGTCGAACAATAGATCAGCTACTCTTGACTATCTTATCCATACTTTTTTGAATCTAGAAGCGTTTAGCCAGAACATAGGCGTTAGTACAAGTTTGTTTTACTTTTTAAAGTAATCGTAACGAGTACGCATTTGGCACTCTGAGGGCCAAGCACGAATAACTATCGCATTCGAATCGTAACAGTGTCGAGCGAGTTAAGCATTCTGATTGGTTGGTTCACTTGAGCCGGCCAATCAGAACGTCGAACGCGCTCGATACTATTACGTTACGAATGCGATAGTTATTCGTGCTTGGCACTCAGAGGGCCAAGCACGAATAACTAACCAATCAGAACGCTTAACTCGCTCGATACTGTTACGGTACGAATGCGATAGTTATTCGTGCTTGGCCCTCTGATTGGTTGGTTCACTTGAGCCGGCCAATCAGAGCGCCGAACGAACTCGATACTATTACGTTACGAATGCGATAGTTATTCGTGCTTGGCACTCTGATTAGTTGGTTCATTTGTGCCGGCCAATCAGAGCGCTAAACGCGTACTCGTTTCGCATACTTTAAACGTAAATAAAACTAAGGCGTACTAACGCCTCAGTTAGAAAGATATCGATTCTCTTCTTGTAACACATTTTTTGACAAAAATATTTTATAATAATCAACCAAGTAATAGTTATATAAATATCTGGGTAATGTTTCTGTGATTTTATGAATTTAAATTGTTAAGTTGTTATAAAGGTGTTTATATAACGCCTGTTTGACTGTCGAGTGCCATCTATGATATTTTAAAAAGAAATCTGTTGTTATGTGGCTTTTGTTAACTATTAAAACCGTTATTTATATACCAGCTTGGGACCGTAAAATGGGGGTAAATGGAGAATAGAGAAAGATTAGTTAGAAAGGATTTTAAAACATCTAGTTTTTCATATAAATTAAGTCGTTTTTGTAACAAAGACATGTTACACCATTTATGTTATGGATCGATTAAATGAGGTTATATTGTTTCGTTTGCGGCGTTTCTCTCTCGAGTAGTACATTAATTATGAATGGTTTAGTGGTCCCAGATTTCATAATATAGGGCCCCGAAATGCCGTTAAAAATTTTTCGTAACTCGGTGATTGGACTATATCGTGTGTACTGTATTGAAATGCTTAACCCGTCGAGCGTCCGCGTTCCTTATGATCCAACGGGTGCACACGTGACATTTGGAGAAAGAAAGAAAGAAAATGCATTTATTTTGGCCTTTGGCACACGAAAACAAGGATCATTACAATAGAAATAAAAAATACAGTCAAAATAAAAACAAAATATTAATAATAGTAATAGATTTTATAAAAGAGAAAGCAGCATGGAGCATTTTTTCTTATGATCCACCGGGTGCTCATAAGGACGCTCGAGGGGTTAAGTTAAAGCTTAATTGACGATTTATCTCCATTTACCCTTTGACCACCCAATTTTACTGGGGTATGTATTATACCAAACATACAAAAAGAAATTATTTATTTTAATTTTAATATGATTACGTTTTCTATATGAACTGATTTTTTTTTTATTTTAATGGTAGGAAAAGCCACAGTTACCTAATAATATTGCCAACTTGTTAAAGGTCGAAAGTTTTATTATACCTTAAGGTTAAATGGTGAATATGATTCAACCTCATCATTAAAAATTCAACGAATTGTTGTTAATACTATATTAATGAATTAAAATTATTTATTTATTAATCGTGTGCCAGCTATTTGTTCTAATTAGAATTAACAATACTTTAGCCACAATGTGCTATATTTCCATTATTGAAGGTACTGGTTATGCATGTTACAATGATAAAACGCATTTTATATGCTCCGGTTGTCAGCTAACCGTACTACAAGTAGGTCAAGTTACTCCTTTCTGTGTAATTTCGTTATTTTGAACCTTTTCGTTTTGATATAAAGTGGAAAATCAAATGAATAATATTGATAGATTGCAGTAAATTGATCTGCAGGTAGTCGCTGTATATGGTAACACAGTTGGCCGTCGCGCCATCTGGTTGTCAGCTACCGGAACATGTGAAAAGAGCTATATTCTAAATATAAATTCCCATTTTTTTATTAAAATATATACTCGGGGCCTATTTCAATATGCGTGACAAAATTTTTATTTAACTTATCTCACACATTTCGTATGTGTGTCACCCACAAAATCGTCGATAAATCTTTTAGTCACTTAGATAATTAATGATTAATCGAATAATGTGAAATAGGCCCTTAAAATAATATTTTCACTCATTTAAAAGTTGCAAAAAATTGTTACCACCGTTTTTCTACCAAAATATTTTAATTTTTGTAATCTGGTAACCCCATTACGGTATTGCCATGTGTGTTTTAATGTAACGTCTTGCTTTTACAGTTTGTGTGTTCGATATTTGTATTTAAAAATTTTATTTGATTTTTGCATGTTGTAATCATGTTTGTGTGTCTATTTATGTTCAGGGTTTTACAGGAAAATTAGCCTTAATTGCATGAGTTTAAGTCTTCTTATGCCTTTTAACTTAACTCAAAACATGCTTGATCTTTAGTCGCGACGGTCGCCTATAGATATATGACAAGAAAATGATATTTTAAGGTACATAGTGTTTATCGTCTGTAACCGACCGTGGCGATTAAAGATTAAGCATGTTTTTACTAGAAATAATTCAGGAATGCATGTAACTTTTATTTAAACTAAACAATATAAAAGTTGTCAAATATGTTTCGTCGTATGCATGTAAATGTTTGTTTGTTTTCGCTTATATTTTTTAATATATTTTTGACAATATTCCAAGATTTTTTATCGATGTTTTTACAAACTTGCCGGACCCTGGAAAGATGATATTTATGGTAGAAATTATGTTGATTGAATAATAAGTATGGTATATGTTGGAATATTGCCAAAAGTAACATATATCTATATATAAATTTTAGTTAACACCGCCTATTTGTTTGTAAACTCACTTTGTGTTGCTTAATAAATTCGTTGGAAAGCATGCTCCGTTTTATTTATTTTCTAAACTTGATATAACTATTATTTTTAACAAATTATTGCGTAGGTTTTTGGTCGTGCATGAGTGATTAAAAAAATGGCCATAAATGATCCTCAAAATGTTATACAGAGTAAACGGAACGCTCTCGAGAATCGCCGACAGGTGATGTTAAAAAAAGAGTTTTATTTTTATAGAAGTAAAGAATCATATTTTTCTTTTATGTAATAACTTGCGTCTACCCGCGACTTCGTACGCACAATCCCGTTTCTCCAATTCCCCTAGGATTTTCAGGACTTTTTGCTGTCATAAAAATCTTCTCCTGACGATAACAAACAAAACAAAAAAAGATCAGCCAAATCGGTCTAGCCGTTTTCAAGTTATGGCGTGACAACGGGAAACGGGTTTCATTTTTATTTATATAGATATAGATATTTGTAATGAACTCCTTACACGAATTACACGAAAATAAAACAATTAAAATTGTAACAATAATTTCTTTTTGTCGGCGTTTCGGGTGCGTTCCGTTTAACCTATACAGGACCTTATAAAAGATAGATGTGTAATTGTTTCGTCCTATTGTAATATTAGGATATTCCTTCTTATTCGCCAATTTTAAATCTCGACTCTCATACATATAGCGTAGGAACTACGAAAAGAAAAACATTGGTATGTAGGGTCTAAATAAACGGGAGTCGCGGAGAACCTAACGGGTTACTGGGGCTCCGGCTCGAAGTGCAGGAGTAAGAACGGGGTGGTTTTTAGTCAGTAAGAGTCTGACACTCCCTCCCGCCTCATTTAGGCGGGAGCAGTCATTCGATGATTTTCCCCCCTTAAAAAAAAGTGTCTAAATAAACTTGACTTCATAACAAATATTGAAAAAACATGATATTATGTCAACTTTTTAAAATGAAATAGGTGTTTGACGTCGACATTTTTAATTTACCTTTCCAGAGTCCCCCTCTACCAGTAGAACAGGAACTAAACAGTAAGTTTATGACAAAAATGGAAGACTTATTGTACGTCGAAGACGAAGAGGAAGACCTCAAGTGAAAAATAAAATAAAATATTATATTTAATCTGTAAATGTGTGTACATAGATAGGTTAGATGTTGAACTCTATCGTTAAACTACTAAGGTTGATAATTGTGTGCATAAGTATAGACATAAGACGTTCTAGCACAATGTTTTTGTGATGTTTTGATTGGTGCATTTTTAGAAGTTATCCTTTTTGGTGACGAGTAGGCTAGTCCTTGTTGAATAAGTGTAACATGATATTACGATGTTATTATTATTGAATTACAGTAGTACTCGTACTAATTTCATTGTGATTTTTGATAAGGAATTACCTAATAAGGTACCTTTTGGTCAGGGCCTCTATTGGGGGATACTATTACTAAACAAACTTATAAAATCTATGGTTTTGTCATCAGTTTGAAACAAGTATTTATAAATATATCTTGTAAACGCAATGTGTCAATGTATTTTTTGCCACAAATTTCAGACTTGCGACCTATTGTATGACCTCATGCCAGTGGACGTCTCTGTGGTTAAAATGGCGACGAAATCTAATGGAATCTAGGAACTTGTCAATAATAGGTAACATTATAACAGGTACCTAAACGCTTAGGAGTATGTGAAGACTTATTTACCAACTGTAGAAGTCTTATTCCAGGTTCTTCTCTTTTCTCTTCTTCTATCTTCTTCTCTCTATGTATTGGAAGCGACCTTAGGAGAACAACAAATAAAAGAAATGCAACTGAAGCCAATTTTTTAGACAAAAACATAGATTTTGATGCCCCGGGTACTGAACCTGGAAGATTGACTGGGTTGCTATGACGTCCTCCTCCTCTATACATCTGGGTTATAAGATGTTTTAAACAAAAACATCATAAAATACTTAGGTATACTTCAGAGAGTTAAAGAGGACGTGGCTACTCAATGGAGTAACGCAGAGACGGACCTGAGTAACATCTAAGTGGGCCTAAAATGTATGTGTTCACAATAGGCCCGAAGATGAACTACGGGCTTTTTCCCAATGGCCTGACAAGGAGCCTTCAATTCAAGGACACCTGGTGCTGCATTAATAAAAAAAAACAGGACAAAAGCAACATGGATCTGAAAAATCCTCTCCTTTCGTACATTTAGGTCCTAGGTAGTAATGTTTTAGAGCTATTCATCTTGGTAGTAAGACGCTTTAGGGCCTTTCCTATAAAGCATCATAAACTACCTAGTGGCTTATATGAGGACTTGACTTCTCAATGGAGTAAAACAGAGATGGATCTGAGTAGCAGTAGGAAAGATGGAGGTGGTCTCATCAAATATATAATTATGTTGCGTACAAGGAGCTGTGGATTTTGGGGCCCCTGCTGTATTCTGGGGCCCCTGCTGTATTCTGGGGCCCCTGCTTTATTCTGAGGCCCCTGCTATATTCTGGGGCCCCTGCTGTATTCTGGGGCCCCTGCCGCATTCTGGATAACACACACACCAAATGACTTGATTACTATGACGTCCTCCTCTGTACAGTTTGGTAGTTAGTTGCTTTAGTTTCTCCTATAAAGCATGATATCAGAATAAATTGAGGACGTGGCTACTCAATGCAGTAAAGCAGAGACGGACCTGAGTAGCTTTGAAGCGGGCCTAAAGTATTTGTGATTGCAACAGGTCTATAGTTGTGTAATTGGAGACTATAGGCCCAGGCATTTCACAATGGCCCGCAAACCCTTTAAGAAAATGAAGGTGGTGTTGGCAGACATTCGATTAGTGCCCGAAAAGGAGCCGTTGATCTAGATGCCCCAGGTACTGAACCTGGAAGATTGACTGGGTTGCTATGACGTCCTCCTCCTCTATACATCTGGGTTATAAGATGTTTTAAGCAAAAACATCATAAAATACTTAGGTATACTTCAGAGGGTTAATGAGGACGTGGCTACTCAATGCAGTAACGCAGAGACGGACCTGAGTAACATCTAAGTGGGCCTAAAATGTATGTTTTCACAATAGGCCCGAAGATGAACTACGGGCCTTTTCCCAATGGCCTGACAAGGAACCTTCAATTCAAGGACACCTGGTGCTGCATTAATAAAAAAAACAGGACAAAAGCAACATGGATCTGAAAAATCCTCTCCTTTCGTACATTTAGGTCCTAGGTAGTAATGTTTTAGAGCTATTCATCTTGGTAGTAAGACGCTTTAGGGCCTTTCCCATAAAGCATCGTAAACTACCTACTGGCTTATATGAGGACTTGACTTCTCAATGGAGTAAAACAGAGATGGATCTGAGTAGCAGTAGGAAAGATGGAGGTAGTCTCATCAAATATTTGTGTAGCGTACAAGGAGCTGTGGATTCTGGGGCCCCTGCTGTATTCTGGGGCCCCTGCTGTATTCTGGGCCCCCTGCTGTATTCTGGGCCCCCTGCTGTATTCTGGGGCCCCTGCTGTATTCTGGGGCCCCTACTGTATTCTGAGGCCCCTACTGCATTCTGGATAAACACACACCAAATGACTTGATTACTATGACGTCCTCCTCTGTACAGTTTGGTAGTTAGTTGCTTTAGTTTCTCCTATAAAGCATGATATCAGAATAAATTGAGGACGTGGCTACTCAATGCAGTAAAGCAGAGACGGACCTGAGTAGCTTTGAAGCGGGCCGAAAGTATATGTGATTGCAACAGGTCTATAGTTGTGTAGTTGGAGACTATAGGCCCAGGCATTTCACAATGGCCCGCAAACCCTTTAAGAAAATGAAGGTGGTGTTAGCAGACATTCGAGTAGTGCCCGACAAGAGCCGTTGATCTAGATGCCGCAGTTACTAACCCTTGGAAGATTGACTGGGTTGCTATGACGTCCTCCTCCTCTATACATCTAGGTTTATAAGATGTTTTAAACAAAAACATCATAAAATACTTAGGTATACTTCAGAGGGTTAATGAGGACGTGGCTACTCAATGCAGTAACGCAGAGACGGACCTGAGTAGCATTGAAGCGGGCCTAAAATAAATGTGATTACAACAGGCCTGTAGGCGGACTACAGGCCTTTCGCACAATTATTAATTCAGGGGCCCCTGGGAATTCGGAGACGGAAAACGCAGTCAGATAAGGGAAATCTAGATAGAATGGACTACGTATTCAATATAGGAAACAACATAGAAAATAATACCTACTTATAAGCGTTTCCGCGGATCCTGGCATGAGGTTTTGCATGTATAGGTTGTAGGCTTAAAAACCTAATTAAATATTTTTTGTTCATGTAGTCTTGTTTATGTGATAAGTATAGGACATTAAAAAGCTATTTACTTAAATCGCAGTTTCAAACCTAGTTCCTTAGGGTTGACCCTAATTTTGTCATACAGATGTATTAAAATTGTGAAAGCCGCATACTCAAACACCACTCACTCAAGCACTCACACACAACTTAATTTCAAATTGCAAATACAATTAGATATAATTGTTTACTTTTAGTAATACGTTCACCGAACATAAAATAATTATTAAAGAATTATCAAAACACTTCGCATAACTGTATGGCCATGTGAATGATCCGTAGGTAACGCATGATCTCTGGGCAGCTATTACCATAATTATTATTAAATATACCGAAAATATTCTTTAAATTATTGTCATATAATTTACTCACAAATTGGTCGATATTATGTTACTTGAAAATCTAGTGGCGTTTGAGTATCAGGCCAAAACCATAATCTTGGTTGCACCCAGAAATTATAAGTATACACAGAGGTGGATCTCTGTATTTTGGGGACCAGGAACATGTCGATGAGCCCATCGTTCATTTAAGTTTAGTGTGAAAATTGTGTAAAGAGAATATCTCTTTGTGTTATATGTTATACCGTTCTGTCTTCAATGCATTTGGGATGCTTTTTTATCTATGGGCTCCTTTTAACTCTTGAGTTCTGGGTTGCACCCCAAACCCTCGCAGACAGATCCGCCCCTGGATAATTTCGTAACATTATTGAGAGACGACAAACAAATTGCTATTCATAAAAAATATTTTTGTACGTTAAGGTTGTGTCGTCAGTATTATGAATGTATTTTTTAAAATTATTTTTGGTAAGGTAAAATATTTTTCTTTTTTGCTCCTAGCGAGATAACAATGCTCCAAGTGACCCGAATTGCCAGACACGGGAAGGCAACACTGGACAACACGGTCAGCAGTCGCACTTGTAAACTTGGAGAGATATTGGACTTGCCTTAAAAGTTAATTTATTTTTATTCTTATTTAAAAAAAAGTCGTTTTCCCACCCTAGGGGTTCATTAATTTAAATAAAAGTTTGTCTTACATTTCTTCAGTAGGTGTTCCTAAGTGTAATAATTGTATACGAAATAAATACATTTATTTTTCTAATTTTGTGGAACTGAATAATTTAATTTCGTAGTTTATTTCTTCGATGACATTATAATAACTTTTGTGGCACAAACTGACTTAATTATTATGTTTTTTGACTGACTCACGTAACTCTTTGACGAGGAACTCGACTATTTTTAAGCCATGCGGCTTATATTCATGAGCAGCGCGACAGTCCCCGCGTCGCGTCCGCGGAATACTGCTTGGTTTGAAACTAGTCGAGTTTCTAGCCAAACAGTTACGCGCGTCAATCGAAAAACATAATAATGAATATGAGAACTTCAGTCGATTTTATTTCTGAAACGAATGAAGGTCAAAAACCAATCTAAATAGTAATTTGTTTATTTTATTATTAACATAATACTACTTTGCGACTATTAATATATACAACTTAAAAAAAATAATTTAAAACTAAAATATTTACACCTTAAAAAAATAATAATAAAAATAAATCATAAGGCATCAAAGAAAACATTTTCCTCATGGCTACCGTGAGGTAGGGTGGTGGTGTTGTAAATATTAATAGACGCAAAGTAGTATTATGTTATTAATAAAATAAACAAATACAAAAAAAAATTGATTTGATGTGAAGCCTTTTTAATTTCCGTGTACATTTGTTTTTGAAGCATTGTTATTTCTTTTAGTTAAGAGTAATATGTATATCAATATTGTTTTAATTTTTTTCTAAAATGG